GAACTTGGGACTGGGAACACATTTTATACACACACACAGGAGGAGGGGATGACGAGACACACCTGGGAGCAATAAAACCAAGGGAAACAGCTGGGACAAATGAAATAAACTAATCAGGACAGGAACAGGAAACTAACCAAATAAGGGCATGGGAAGGCACATGGGGAGTAGGACACACACAAAACATGGAACAGAGTCTGACAGCGACATGTAAGATGAGTTTACATGTATGCTGAGTTTCAGTTCATTTTTGTGATGCTTAATTTGTTCACAGAAAGGAAACTCAAATGGCAGAAAGCGACATCCCTATTTGTTTCTTTATTTTACAAAAGCACAATGTTTTGTTTTCATTGTGAGTGTACACAAATAAAAGCAGAACTTTACACAGTGATGCATTATTAATAAGACAGTAAGTATTTAAAGTTGATTCTGCTGGTATAAGGAAACAGTTGAAGTGATCGCGCCGGCGCGCACACACACACACACACACACACACACACACACACAGCACATCAGTTCCAGCATTGCTAACTTGACAGCGCAATTGGTACTTTATCAAAATAAAATAAAGTGAACCAAACATCAGCGCGCCCGCCTCTGTCACCATTGGAACGCGACTGAAGTACAAAGCCTATAATTTTATAGGCTTTGTACAAAGCCTATAATTTTATAGGCTTTGTAATTCAGTCGCGTTCCAATGGTGGAATGCCATATATTTATTACATATAAATATAATAAATAATAGTTTAGCATTCAGATACGTTACATCGCAAATATGGAAATATTATGGAATATTTGGATTTGTGCCGAATGAGAGAGGTAGGATACACGAACACAAAGCTCCATTTCGCAAACAGTTGAGTGCACAAGCCTTTAAAGTATACTCCTTTGCCAGTCCTTTGAGAGACGCATTCAGAGTCAGCACATGGTCACTGTCTAGTCGTGGGCTTTGTTTTCAAGTCTCACAGCATTCGCTGTTCTTCTTCTTCTTCTTCTTCTTGTATGATTTTATGGTGGTTGACAAGCCAGCTTATGGTGTATTACCGCCACCAACTGGACTGGAGTGTGAAGCATTAACGGGAAAGAGGGAATAAGAGCCTCCATATGATGCCTGTGTATCTGCTATTTGACCCTTAAGTTTTTAATTGACTTGTTCCAAAGTGATTCCCTCAATCTGAAGATGTTTTTCAGCTGCCTTGATTATGATTTTTATCCTCTCAGTTCTGCTTTCAGTTTGTGCAGCACAGTTTATTACCTCAGCTAGAAAAGCCATGAACTCAACTTTTCCAACTTTTAGAAAGTCTTCATTTAATTTGTGTTGCGAAGATGGTCTACTATTCTTGTTCATTAGGACCGTTGTACCATTTCCTTGCCCAACTTCTATTCGCTGTTCTTCTGCTGGCGGCCGGTAATCAAACAACGTTGCATTGCTGCGGGGGCCCCCTTCTGGATTGGGGGTGAATTGCCTGTATTCGTTGGGCCTCATGCACCGAACTGAGATGTCCGTACCGTGACAGTTCGGTACGAATACATGTATCGTTCCACCCCTAATATACATGTAAATATTTTCAAAATATATACTGTATGTGTGTGTATTTATATATACATCATAAATACACAGTACACTACACACATATATTATGTTAACAAAAACGTTTATTTTGATTAATCGCGATTAATCGTTTGACAGCACTAATATAAACACTAGAATTCTTGTTTTAATTAGAATTCTAAAATATATAATGAATATATACTATATTAAATCTTTATATACTTTAAAGTAGAATGTAATTTTTAATATAGATTCATTATTAGAAATCAAATAACTAAGTGACCTTAGATTTATAATAATCTAGATTGATCAATATTAGAATGAGGGTACAAAAAAATGTATGTCTGCACACCTGTTGTGAATCCGGGGGAAATTTTGAAAATTCCTGTGCACATCAGTATGCAACTTACACCCAATTATTATAGTATGAGACCCATTGTTTGTCTTTCTTACTATTTCAGTGAGAATTATTTCATGGAACAAATCTTGAATGCAGTGCGTGCACACATTTCTTGAGTCTGGATTGAGTATCTGCTCCCTAATGATTAATTCATGTTTCCTGCTAAATTCTGAGAAATGGGTCATGAGTACCACAGTGTGACCCCCTCTGGTCTGCCCTGGACAATGTGCTAATTATATTCCGGTCGCGCGTTGGTGTGCTCTTAGGGTTTCCACAACAGCGCCTCGGTTTGCAGGGGCGGCATGGTGTTAATACCCTCATTGCCCTGATGTCGCAGTCATGCGGTGCGCTCATGACACAATGAACATTACCCACAGTGCTTTCTCAGATCGCTTTTGCAGCCAAGCCAAGAGGAAGAAAGCACGGTTGACAATAATGTCATAGATAAAACCTATCACGGCTGCCAAATGGAATGTGGCGTTACTTTGAGGTTGTTACATTTTTGGATGAACTGTTCCTTTAAGATTAATTTGTCAGCTCTCTCCGGTTAAATCTGCACTTCGCTGCCAGACAGCCATCAGAATAGACTAAAGTCACTCGACCAGCTTGTCTCTATACTTAGAATTATCATTAACGCCACTTCTAGATGTTTTGAGCCCAGATGATTCACATAGGTTTGGTGTTGTGTTGAAGGTCTTTTAATAGTAATTGACACTCTTGCAGGAAGCCGTGCTGGTGTGTTTATGTGTGTCTGGTGAATGGATGGCTTTAGCATAATGACAGGGTTTAGAGAGGGAGCAATCTGTTTTTCTCAGTATGTTGTGCTGCAGAAAGGCCTTTGAAAACCATCAAGCGTTTCCCATCACAGTGGCTCCTTTTAACCCTGTGGCTTTACTGAATTTGTAAACACATTTAGTTGTTTCCCGTGGTTTGTCCCTCTGTGCATCTTTCTCTCTCTCTCTCTGTGGGGGTGTAATGCGATCCGCTGCATGTATGTTCGTTCGTGTGTTTTTAGTAACATGTAAGGGGGATGTTGGGTCTTTCTCTCCAGGTTGATGAAGGCATGCATCTGCTGATCACGGGCCCCAACGGTTGTGGAAAAAGCTCTCTGTTCAGAATCCTGAGCGGCCTCTGGCCCGTCTACAGCGGAGTGCTTTACAAGCCATCACCCGAGCACATGTTTTACATACCTCAAAGGTACTGACTGCACACTGTGACCTAAAAAGTGTGCACTAAAAGCATGCACTTCACTGGTGATGAGAAGGTATATGCTTTTGAGTATGTAGTAAGTAGGACTATATCTAGGGTTTATTGTCAAATGATATGTAAAATGAAGCAACGTTTGTGAATATCACAATGCATTTTCAAGTTGCTATTAAGTTATTAAGAGTTTTGCAATCCCTCCTTTAATTGTGACTTAGTTAATTGTTTTATTTTGTTTTAATGCTCAGATTTAAACTTTAGTAGCAAAATTTCAGCGAATTGATTCAAAAATCTGATTCACTGATTGTTTGCATCATCATTCAGTGTTCATTTTCCATGTGCCTATTTGTATTTAAATGTTTTAGATCATTTTATATGATGTTTATTGTTATTATTAATATCATTAGATTATTCATTATTTTTATTATTTAAATTTTTGACTTAATCGACGTACATAAAATGACTGAATATTGTTCCTGTTCAAAAGTAAAAACTTACCTTCATTATTTAATGAAATGTAACTAAAGGATGAAGGATGTAACCACGTTGATAATTTGATTTGATCATATTCAATAATTCTGTAAATCAGAATAAAGGGAGCCAAATGTCATAATTGCCATCAATAGGGACCAAATGTTAAAATCTAGTAATTTGAAAGCAATAGCCATTTTGGAGCAAATACATTAAAAATAACAATCAAAAGACAGAAAATTGAGATATTAATATATTTTTCCTTGTTACACTATGTTACTCGGCTTTAGCTGTAAAAGAGATGTCAGAATTGGGAGACACTACAGATGTCATAAAATTGTGTGTTGATACCACAGATCTCTTTGTCATGTGAGAGTTAACATTAGGCTACATTTAGTCATTTTTGGCTTCATAAAAACAACATAGCAGCTTCATCATTGCATTTTTTTGCTAAACTAAACTAAACCAAACAAACAAACAAAAAGTAAAAAACAAAATTGCATGACCACACAATTTGAAAACCAATATGTCATCCAGGCAACTTTGATGAGTTTTTGTCATTGTACTATGATTTGAGATGAGCTAATATTAATTTTGCATACAGAATATTATGTGCATGCCAGTAGTGTACAAATAGGACTACTATGATTGTAGAAGGCTGTTGATTTCTCTTAGTGCAGGTTCAGGACCCAGTACTGAGATGTGGTCTGCTGTATTTTGTTTGAGAATTAAGATCAATTAGAAGGCAGAGAAGTGGGTTTGCGTGCATGTGTTTATTTCCATTTCCCCTCCGTGCCAGGTTAATTAGCGCTGATGAGTGTGCTGATTAAAAAGAGGAGCACAATCAAAAAGCAGTCAGCACATATGGTGCTCCTGTGACTGCGTTACATGGCAGCTTCATTACAAACCCAACAGGAGTACAGCATCGCTTCGTGCTCATGATCACACAACGGGATGTGTCCAACATCATTTCAGACCAGCAGCTGCTTGTCATTTGGCCCACTTGCAGTTCACTGGATGTCTCTGTATATCAGCACTGTTAAAGAGAAAAAAGATTGAATAAGACTTTCAACTGCTTTTTTGAGGATGTGCCTAATGCACAATGATTTTGAGTAGACTACATTTTTAAACACTTCGCCCATTTTGCCTTTATGAGAATTATTAATACAAAATGTGAAACACAGAGGCTAGATGCATAGATAGATCAAACAAGACATACAGTGAAAACAGCATTACATACACAGTGAGGAATATGAGTGTTATTCAGAAGTAATATATTTTCATCAAAAGAATCCTGCTATTTTAATCCACTAAAAAAAAGATGTGGACTCAAGTTTCCTTTGAACTCATCTGGAACAAAAAGACTAGACAATTAAATTTTGGATTCATTATTATTTTTCTTCTCTTTTCAGACCTTATATGTCGGTGGGAACGCTGAGAGATCAGGTCATCTATCCTCACTCTGTTCAGGAGATGCAGGAGAAAGGCATCACTGACCAGCAGCTGGAAAACATCCTCAAAACTGTGAACCTCTGCTACATCCTGGAGAGAGAAGGAGGTAAGAGACATCACAGGAACGTCTTCAGATATCCTCTTCAGTCACGGGATGGGCATTTTTACAAATAATGTTCAGTTGCATTTTTGCATATATAAATATTTTTTTCTGTGGTGGGAACAACTGTGTAACATACTGAAACTATGTATATTCAATATGGAATATACACTGATTACCGTTTAAATAAGTTATTACTTTTATTCAGCAAAGTTACATTAAACTTCTCAAAAACAACAATAAAGACATTATTATTAAAAAAAAAGATTTCTATTAAATAAAGTTACTGTTCATTTTTGTTAATAAAAGAATCCTAAAAAAAGTCAGTTTCCACAAAAATATTAAGCAGCACAACTTCATATTTCAACATTGATAATAAGAAATGTTTCTTGAGCAGCAAATTAGAATGGTTTCTGAAGGATCATGTGACACTGAAGACTGGAGTAATGATGCTGAAAATTCAGCTTTGACATCACAGGAATAAATTACATTTTAAAATATATTGTTATGTCTTACAAGTGTTTAGAGGTTTGAAGAAAGCGTAACAATATTAAGGTTTTAAAAAGAGCATCTGTCTGAGCCCCTGCCACAGAAGAAGAAGAACAACTTAAAAGGTTTTATTAACAGCTCGAAGAGTATACATGATTTTCAAACAAAAAGAGTGCAAATAAAGAGGGAAGCAAAACTTCAGGACGGGGAACAGTGCCAAAATAACAAACAAAAACGGTTCTACTCTGGAGGTTACATTCTTCCTAAACCTATCAAAGAAAAGATAATCAACAACAAATGTATACACTCACTCACTCCCTATCTAATCCTCAAACCAGGAGAAAACAGTTAAGTACAAAAAATAAATAAAAATGGCGCCCACCTCTCTACAGGGTAACAAACAATCAATCGGGAGAGTAACTGCTTAAGCAGTTTGGTAACACAGGAAAAGACAAACTAGCTGTAGGCTGAGTATCCTGCAGTAAACACAGTGCACAAAGTCTAAAAGGCTTCAACAAACTGAGCTGGGCAGGGCTAGACACAGGACATGCTCTGGAGTGAAATTCTCTTCTAAACTGCTACTCTCTCAGCTGGTAAGCAGGTGCAGCTGGAAAGGGCAGTCAGCTACCTGCCAGAGTGGAAAGAGTGGGAGGAGCCAGAGGAGCAGGAGACACAGAGAGAAACAACAACAAAAACCATACCACAAAACACAATGCAGTTAACATAAAAGTAGATACGTCATTGGATGTTACAATATTCGAATAATGTAATATATTTCATATTATTACTGTGTAACTGTAATGTTTGAATGTAACTGTTTTAAATGCAGTCTTGGTGAGCATAAGAGGCTTATTTCAAAAACAATCTTATCAACCCCAACCTTTTGAACAGTAGTGCACACAATCTGATTTATGAATGTTTATTTCCACCAGTGTTGCAAGATAAAAGCAAGCACAGCACATTTACTGTACTGCATGTAAAGTGTTGAACTAACAGATTTTTTTTAGATAAAATATTAATAGCATATAATTAATAATGCATGTTTAAATAATTCAGTAATATGGAAGAAGCAAAACTGTATTAGTTGTAAACATATATTATTGTTAGTATTTAAACACTATTAAATACTGTCAGGTTGGGATGCAATGAGCGACTGGAAGGACGTGTTGTCTGGAGGAGAGAAGCAGCGCATGGGCATGGCCAGGATGTTTTACCATAAGTACGTCTGTTCTGTTTGACTGACAGTTTATTAAATATGACACACACGATTTGAGGCAGACACATATATAATGGAAGTACCATTTTTTACACCATGCTTAATACTGGACTAACATCTATTTAAATCCAATTTAATGTAAGTTAATAATCAGGAATATTACTGAGATATTTTCTCAGGAATTATCTTTCAGTTGCTTGAGATAATTGGTAGAATGATTTCCTCTGTCTAAAATAAAAAATAATACTTTGAAGATACTAAATTATGATACATGTAAGAAAGCTGCTCATGGTTTCCTTAAAGCCATTCAAGTGATAAATATTAAATTACTGAACGTTATTAGCATTTAACCGGATTCAGTGGGTGTTTTTGTAAACTATACAGCTCGCTTTGCATTTGAAGTGAGCAGCTGCTTTAGGGGAGATTATTGTAGAACCACTGAGATTTATTAATGGGGAAGTAAAAAAAAAAATGTAACAATTCAACTGCCAACTACTGCTTTTAAGTCTGTTTTAAAAGTCGCCAACAACTTGTGTGTTTAAAGGGTTAGTTCACCCAAAAATGAAAATTAGCCCATAAATTACTTACCCTCAAGTCATCCTAGGTGTATATGACTTTCTTCTTTCAGACGAATCCAGTCGGGCGTTCGTCACTTCTGAGCGGCACATGCGCAATTTCGACGTCCTACGTCATCCGCCCGGAACTGTTTCGTGTACAACTGTGAAAGCAAGCTAGATTAAAGTGATTATTAAGTTTTGAATATGGATATTTTTCTTACAAAAACGCATCGATTCGCTACAGGAGGCCTTTGTTCAACCCCCGGGGCTGTGTGAGACACTTTTTTTATGGATGGGCGCTTTTTATTTAACTTCTTTTGGACTGATGCATGCAACACCCACTGAGTGCCATTAAACAGCTTGAAAGATCAAAGACAATTTTTAATATAACTCCGACTGGATTCGTCTGAAAGAAGAAAGTCATATACACCTAGGATGACTTGAGGGTGAGTAATTTATGGGCTAATTTTAATTTTTGGGTGAACTAACTAAATCTCTGGTTTATCTCTAACAGGCCTCAATACGCACTCCTGGATGAGTGCACGAGTGCTGTGAGTATTGATGTGGAGGGCAAAATCTTTGAAGCTGCAAAGGATGCTGGGATTGCTCTTCTCTCTATTACACACCGTCCTTCTCTCTGGTGGGTTTTCAGTCGTATGAAAATGAAGAGCAGTTCCTTTATTGCTAGTGGGAGTGTATTTATGTACTAAAGCACTGAATCATAAACACATAAGATTAAAGAGTTCATATGATGGAAAACAGGATTTTTCTTGCTGTTTTGAAGTAGATTGATGTGCTATGTAGACATACTGTAATATTCACAACACTGAAAAAGCCAGACCACCCAGACTAGTTATCCAACAAAGCTGCAGTAATGGGTTGTTAAAGGTGCTGAATACATCGCATAAAATCACAAATGGGTGCCCTGAGAGAAAACACCTGTGTCTGTGATCGCACTAGGCAAAATAAAAAGTCAAGGGAGCGGCCCACGCTTTTTTAGTCAATCAGAAAACTGGCCACGATGAATCATGTCATGCCTTTGGGTTATGGAGAAAGGGTGTGCGGAAGTTAGCAGGTGAATCGTTTAAGCATTCATCATGACATTGCATCCATGAACACATTAACATAAGACTGTTTAGATTTTTTTATAAGAAAATAATACTTGCATTCAGCAAGGACACATTAAATTGATCAAATGACAGTAGAGATTTCTGTTTTGAAATAAAACTAAACTTCCTCTGCTGACAGGAAGTACCACTCCCACCTGCTGCAGTTTGACGGCGAGGGTGGCTGGCGCTTTGAAAAGCTGGACGCCTCCACACGTATTTCCCTGCAGGACGAGAAGCTCCGGCTCGAGACCCAGCTCTCAGGAATTCCCAAGATGCAGCAGCGGCTGGCAGAGCTGTGCCGCATTCTGGGGGAGGACAGCAGTCTGCCAAACCCAGGGGAAGTGGAGGAAGACGACGGGATGGAGGGAGAGGAACTCCGACTGGATTCGTCTGAAAGAAGAAAGTCATATACACCTAGGATGACTTGAGGGTGAGTAATTTATGGGCTAATTTTAATTTTTGGGTGAACTAACTAAATCTCTGGTTTATCTCTAACAGGCCTCAATACGCACTCCTGGATGAGTGCACGAGTGCTGTGAGTATTGATGTGGAGGGCAAAATCTTTGAAGCTGCAAAGGATGCTGGGATTGCTCTTCTCTCTATTACACACCGTCCTTCTCTCTGGTGGGTTTTCAGTCGTATGAAAATGAAGAGCAGTTCCTTTATTGCTAGTGGGAGTGTATTTATGTACTAAAGCACTGAATCATAAACACATAAGATTAAAGGGTTCATATGATGGAAAACAGGATTTTTCTTGCTGTTTTGAAGTAGATTGATGTGCTATGTAGACATACTGTAATATTCACAACACTGAAAAAGCCAGACCACCCAGACTAGTTATCCAACAAAGCTGCAGTAATGGGTTGTTAAAGGTGCTGAATACATCGCATAAAATCACAAATGGGTGCCCTGAGAGAAAACACCTGTGTCTGTGATCGCACTAGGCAAAATAAAAAGTCAAGGGAGCGGCCCACGCTTTTTTAGTCAATCAGAAAACTGGCCACGATGAATCATGTCATGCCTTTGGGTTATGGAGAAAGGGTGTGCGGAAGTTAGCAGGTGAATCGTTTAAGCATTCATCATGACATTGCATCCATGAACACATTAACATAAGACTGTTTAGATTTTTTTATAAGAAAATAATACTTGCATTCAGCAAGGACACATTAAATTGATCAAATGACAGTAGAGATTTCTGTTTTGAAATAAAACTAAACTTCCTCTGCTGACAGGAAGTACCACTCCCACCTGCTGCAGTTTGACGGCGAGGGTGGCTGGCGCTTTGAAAAGCTGGACGCCTCCACGCGTATTTCCCTGCAGGACGAGAAGCTCCGACTCGAGACCCAGCTCTCGGGAATTCCCAAGATGCAGCAGCGGCTGGCAGAGCTGTGCCACATTCTGGGGGAGGACAGCAGTCTGCCGAACCCAGGGGAAGTGGAGGAAGATGACGGGATGGAGGGAGAGAGGGAGCACCAGAAGGAGGGGGAGGAGAAGGAGAGAGATGCAGTATCTGGTAGAAAAGAGAAAGACCTTATGGAGTGATATGCAGACAGATGACGGATGCATTCAAGGCCAGGTGTGAGCGTATGTGTGTGTGTGTGTGTGTGTGTGTGTGTGTGCATACAGTATATCTGCCCACATATGTTTTAGATGCATGCATTGAATGTGTTTCTAATAGGGTTGGAAATCAAGAACTTAATCAGAACCAGTTCCATTTTTTAAAGAAATACCACAGCGGGAATCGTTTTAAGGATGTTTGGTTCTGTTACCGGTTTTAGAACGTTTACATTCCAGCAACGATTCAGAAGAAACACAGCAATAAATTATGCAAAACAGATGAACGTATCAGAGCCACCTTGAACCACCTTTGCTGTTGTCATGATGATCAACGTGCATCTTATTTTTTGGTAGCTTGTGTGAGAATCAGCAATCAACGGTTGAGTGTGTAATTGTCGATTTCCATGATTTAAAAAGTCGAAAATCGGCTCTAATCTTTTCTTTTTCCACAGACTTTGATTACATTTAGGGTTGTGGGTCATTCAGAACTGAATTCAGAATGTTTTTAACCCTTGTGTTGCAAAATCCTTTACCTAATTTGGTGTTCCTGGTCAAAAAATGACTGGCTTTTTAAAATAATTGTTTATAAAAGTCTTGTTATGATTTGGTATTTTCACCAAATCTTGGATTAAATCTTTTTGTCAACTTGTTTTCTTTCAATCAGCACAGATTTTGTATATCTTTTTTCGAACTGATTGATCGTAGGCCTTTTTGATCTAAGCGAATGCACCTCAGATTTTGAGTGAAAAAGCATTGTTTGTGGATAATTTGAGCAATATTCATTGTAAAAACTGAGGTGCGTAAGCTCAGATCAACGAGGCCTACAATCAATCAGTTCTAAAAGAGAAATAGAAAACCTGTGCTAATTGAATCAGAATCCAATTCAAATTTGAATGCAAGAAAGTTGATTTAAAATGATTTGAAATTTAGAATTTCAATAAATAAATGTAGCTGCCATTTTACCTAGAAGTTGTCAAGAAAGTTTTGAAAAAACTTAAAAAAAAAAAAACTTTACTTTTGGAGGTTTAAATGCCTTGCAGACAAATGATCCATTATCCATTCTTTCTGCTTCAAAATTACTAAAAAAAAACTTAACAGAATCATTAAGGAATCAGAATCAGATTCCCATCTTTAGTCTCTAGACAGAAAACGCACAGTGAACACTTCAAAGCTTTTGTTAGCTGTACAAAGACAATGCAGTTAGTGTGTGTGTGTGTGTGTGTTTGTTTATGTGTGTGTGTGTGTGAGGGTAGTACTCAAGACTGGGTGTGTTTTGGAGGGGGTGGGAGACAGCTGCCAACTCCACCAGATGCGGTCGATGATGAAAGCACC